TGAAGAACGAAGCACGTATAAAGCATGGAAATACGGTTTACAGACAAGGTCACAACAGGCATATGCATATATTACAAAACAGAAAAACTCAATCATACCTCGAATAGTTTCTGCCCATAATTTACCGCTCCTGTCAAGAAGATGAACCTGTGCTTTGCTACTGCAAACTAGCATATTTTCACCATTTGCGCTGAATGCGATGTCGTTGATGACATGACTGAAAAGTAGGTGGAAAAAGAAAGATGTGAGAGCATTTCGCAAAGTGATCTATACCCTAGTCTTCGCTACCTTTCAACTGGAAGTAACTCCTTGTCAGCTCGCAGACTCATATCCATTTTTTGGAAGTCAAAGATTTTGACCTGATAGTCAACACCGCCGGAAGCAAATCTCACTCCATTGGGCTCAAAGCGCAGTGCAGACACCTAAACGAAACACTTAATTTGACTCAATAATATGTTTCATCATTACTAGACCAGGCATGACCCCTGTCTCTATCTTACATTGGTAACGCTCGTCTACACTTACAGCAACGACAGTATTAATCAGCAAAATGAATGCCAAAGAAAAAATGATTATGGTAACATGTACCAAGCATCGATACGATTATTGGTTTCATTAAGTTAAGAAAATGACAATAAGAAAACATACCGGCTTTCCACTATGGATAAGTTTAGCTTCACACGCTGTAGGTATGAGATTTACTGTCGGAATCTTAAAAAACAGCAAATTAATCTGCAATCAAAGACTTAATTAAATACTCACCCCGTCTCCCGCATAATCTTCAAAATCTTCGTCATCGTCATCGTTGACAACTTTTGATTTTTCTTTCGGTGCAGAAGTACCGTCTTCGCCGATAATAACAGTTTTGTCCGGGACAAAACCAGGAGGCAGCATTGGTAAGAACTCATCTAAACGTTTAGCAGTAAAAATGGGGAAAAAGAAAGAAAATCGCAATCAACACACCATCCTCTTCACTCACAGTGCCGCTATCCCCATGTAGGCTCTTCTCTACCGTTTGAGACTCGCCCTAAAAAACAGCTCGAAGATGAAGGATACAGACATTTCAGA